CCCCCAAGCCACGTGGCACACCTGGAGCCAGTGTATTTGGCCAAGTCTAGAAGGCCAGCCGGATCGCCCGCTTTGCACAGTCATCCCAGGCCAGATCCACCGCCTCGGCTTTCTTTGGACTCTGCCTCCAAAGTGTCTGTCGCCTAAGGCTCGCCGGAGCCTGAACAAACGTGGTACCTGCCAGCCTGGCCGGAGAGGCCCGGGGCTTCTTCTAGTGCTGGAAAGTCTCCGGTGCCCTCGGCCCTGCCCGGGGCACAGTCCCTTATCAGCAGTGGCACCAAGCACCTCTGACCATGGAGCCGTAACCATCGCCATCCTGCTTGTTTCCTTTTCCTTTTCTTCTTTTAAAAAAAGGTAGTTCAGAAGATTTACATCGTAATGGGGAAGTGAATAAATACCAGCACTTATGGTTCTTATAAACTTATGTTTTGAAGACAGCATAGCACTCAAGAGGAATTCGACTGTTAAGGTCGGTGAAACCTAGGAAAACAAATAATTCAGTCAAGACCCAGGGGCTGCGAAAGGTGTCAGATTTGACAGTCCAAGATCTCCATCCTCGAATTCCTTGTTTCTGACAGCCACAGGGAGGCTTAAATCTCCAACCAAGGGCAACTAAATCTCCACAGTACCCCTCGAGAACTTTAGGCCCACCGAGTTCACCTTTGGTTTTGGAGAAGTTTAGCCTGGAGCTCCCGGGGGCCCTCAGCCCATGCAAGGACTCAGCAGCAAGGTGGGGACCCCAGCCTTGCGTCTCCGAGTCAGGCACTGTTTCTCCAGACGTTCACCAAAGGAGAGGGTCAGAAGAACTCAGTCGGCGGCCCTGTCGCCGACTAGCCCTGTGACCTTGTACAAGCCCCTCCCATCTGTCTGTGCTTCAGTTTCCCCAAGTAGCATCACACACGACTGTCTGGGAGAACGACATGGAATCATAGGCGTGATCCCGCTTCCGAAGTCCCATGTGGATTCGGTACTTGATCCTAGTTTGGTCTCGGCTGTGACTGGCTGTAAATTGGCAATGGCTCTTTTCTCCTCAGCTTTCGTTCTCATAAATAGCCACCATGTTGGTGGTCTGGCATTTAGCAGAGATTCAGTTTGAATGAGTTAAAAACTAGGCTTTGAGAAGGTTGCGTTCAGCCTGGGCCGTTCATGCTCCTTCCCTTACTTTCAGAAACCACAGTGGAACCTGTGGATCCCCACATAGCTCTTTCTTTTATGTCCTCCCCTAACTGCACCCACCACACCACTTGTCCTCCGGAAGCAGCTAGGATAGCTCAGTTTGCAGGTAAATGTTATAATTTGAGGGGAAAAAAACCCCACTTGATACTAACCTTGTTAAATGTCTACTCAATTCGTGAACTTCCATTTCAGTGCTTTTAAATTCATTGAGCTCCTTCCGAATGGCAGCCTGCAAGGAAGAGAGGCCCATGAGTGCAGAGGATGGAAAGCAGCTCACCTTCTTTTATTCCTTTGTTTTCTTTCTTCGACAAAGCCATACACGTGCATAAAACGGTTTCTTCCACTGGGAGAAACAAAATCACCTGAGGTCTCCTTTAGAGCCTACGAAGAGTCCCGTCCCCCTAAATCTAAGTTGCGAGCAATCCGACTCGGGATCCTGCCCAGAGCTGTTCCACCTGGGCAGTGAGAGGGCCCTTCCACCTGGCCCACACTCCTGGGTCCTGAGTGCACATTACAAGGCCAGCCTCTCATCTTTCTTTGGGGAATCTAAGCTCATCAGAGGCACAGCGATGCCTCAGGATGGATACTTCTAGAGGAGGTGTGTGAAATTCCCCAACCAAGCGAAGGGGTGACGGCCAGCCGCTCCCTTTCCCTTTGCCTCATGAAGCCTTGGCTCCTTTACAAGTCTGTTGACTCTGAGGTGATATATTTCACCATGGAGGGTATGGAACGTGTTTTGAATAACCTCAAACAAGCATGAGATAAATCTGAATGACCTCGTCCTCACAGTCACAGATGTGGCCACCGAGAAGGCGCAAGGAGGACCGGAGCAAAAGAACGTCTGGGGTTGGAGAAAACCTCACTTCTTCCTCGGGGCTGAAAATTTAAACGTGGGCTCTTTCCCGTAGCTCTTTCTAAGGTTGATAACGTGCATTGATGGGAAGATAATCAGGGCACGGAGAGTCTGAGGATGGAAAAGTCTTTTTTTTTTTTCCCATTCATCCAAAAAACTTTTATTGTGGGCAGTTTTACTGTGCTAGGTGTATTATGCAAAGAGGAATCAGAAGAGTTGCCACCGTTTGAGAGTTAACAGTCTAACAGAAGACAGAAGTGCATAAATAACAATTTATAAAATGATAGGCATCTCTAGAAAGGAACAGATAAAACAATTTCTACTTCAAGTCGGTCGTCCATTTTTGGAGAGCCAGTTAAGATGCCACCCCTCAGTCAGACTGCTTGTGTAAGTAAGATTAAGGGCAAGGCAGAAAGCGGTTTAATACTTTTTGTGTATGTGAGAATTTTTATGATTATAAAAGTAATGCATGAGAAAATGGGCAAGGGACTTGAACAGACATTCACAAAAGGCCAGTCAACATATGCAAAGGGGCTTGAGCTCATCAGAAAACAGGGAAATGCAACTAACCATCCTGAGAAACCACTACACACCCACCCAAAAGGGCTAAGATGATACCACGTGTTCACCGAAATGGGCAACGATGAGAACTCTCAGAAGCTGCTGGTGAGTGTGTAAGTTCATACAGTCACTTTGGGACACTCTTTGGCATTACTACTAAAGCAGCGAAGCCTCTCCACACTGCAGGACACAGATATTCTACTTCTAGATTCAACCTCAGCAGAAATGTGTGCACTCGTGAATGAAAAGACATGGAAAAAGAATAGCAGCATTATCACAGCAGCACTGTCCATCAACAGTAAAGCAGGTAGGTACATTTTGGAAGATTCATAACTCTAAATACTATGGTATTTCTCTTTACAGTCCTCTTTGTGCATATTTTACATTAAAGATACACACTCTGTGCCCTTCCATTAAAAATAATAACACAAGCGTTTCTTCCTAAGATAAAAAGTTATTTGTAAACATTTTAATGGTCACACGATAGTTGACCGTATTCTTGTTACTGTGATCATTAACATGCACTGTGTGCCAAGCACTGTATTCAGTACTTTGTATTCTCTATCCAGCCTGATCCCAGAGCGCTGTGCTCCAGCACATTGTTTCATGTCCTCACCTACGGCTGAGGTCCAGGCCATCTGCTTCTGCCCAAAGCCCCAGCCTCTGAGGCTGCTGGTCCGCTAGTCCTCAAAGCGTTCTTTTATCTCCTTACCAAACCACTGGCAACCAGGGCCACCACCTCAGGCCCACTGGCCTAGCCAATTCCGTCTACCAGAGCAATGCTATTTGGGACAAAGTGGACATGGTACCACACTTGCTGCTGGTGTGGCTGTCCTCCAGCTTATCTATTCCTTTCTGGAAATTTCAACCTTGTCATCTCACTCTTACTCTCACAATTCTGCCTCAAAAATGTGACTGAAGACAGGAGATTAAGAACCCTGACAATGTACTTCCATAATCTTCCTATTCTTTTTTTCCTTCCCACTATCCCCCAGGCAGGAAGGAGCTGACTTGATGTTCCCTCTTCTTGGCTGGGGGCTTCCCTCTTCGTTCCTTCCAAGGAAGCTCCTATTCCTTAAGGCAGTAAAACCACATGGTCTAAGAGAGACCAATGGGAATGTCTTCTATGCCGTGGAAGGAACGCTATGGTCTGAGTCCTCCAGACATAGCCCTTGATATGGGACCAGAAGACAATACCAGCAATTGGTAAATATCCCAAACAAAAAACTACATTGCTCTGCTCTCCAAAAATTTATCTTTGTCTTATTACAATTACTATTTTTAGTGTAGAGTGAGTGCTTGTCTCACGTCTCTCCTGACCTGTATCTGTTTTTGTTTTCGTTTTTAAAAATTTTTTTATACAGCAGGTTCTTAGTAGTCATCAGTTTTATACACATCAGTGTATACATGTCAATCCCAATCGCCCAATTCATCCCACCACCACCCCCTGGAAAAGTCTTTACATAGGATCAGAATGGCTCCTCCCACGGAAGGAAGGCACTCGCTTAAAGTGCCTGGCTGGGGGCGTGGGAGGGGTGGGCACTGCTTCCCAGCAGCCCCGGAGGAACTGGATAGGCTCCCTCACAGCTGCTCAGGATTCTAGCTGGTACCTTCCCTTGAGATTCTAGCTGGTACCTTCCCTTGACGTTTGCCAGTTCCCTCAGCCTTGGTCAGCAAGCACGCTGCAGTGAGAGTGTGAACAACAGAGCGAGGTCACATCTATGTGACACAACTGCCCGGGGCGGGACAGAGGGGCCTGTCTCCTGCCCGAGGTGTGCCGGTTCTTGGGGATGCTCACCATGTATTCCTATAGAAGGGAGAGGGGAGGTTTCCACTCGTCAGGACCTGGGGGCTGGCCCGCCCCGGGCGGGGGTGGGGGCGGGGAACAGTTTCTGGGAGGTGCCTCTGGCCGCATCAGTTCCCTCCCCCCCGCAAGTGCAGCGGCTTCCCTGGGCTCACACTCCAGCCAGAGGCCAGGCTCCGGGTGACCTCCTGCATGGCCTGTGAGGAAGCCACCTGCCCCGGGAAGGGATGGGGCAAAGGCAGGACTCTAGGAGAAGGTCCCCGGTGTACCCGAATCCCCTTATTGTCACTTTACACACTGCACAGCGTTATTGTCTTACACTTTTTCTTCTTTTTTTTTAAAGGCCCTCAGCCTCCAGTTCCTTATGGTGCCTGGATAAGAATCACAAAGGATGCCCAAGCAGAGGTTCCCCCCCTGAGATACGTGTATCGATGAAAGGCGTCTGTCTTGTGCCTTCTCCAGAGCAGGGGAGGACCAGCTCAGCGCCCTCTCCGCACGCTGTCTGGAGCCCTTGGGGAGAGGTGCCGGGAGCAGCGCCGCAGCCTGCCCGGCAGCCACTCAGCCCCCAGTACCTACCCGGGCACCCCGGCTCTGCGCCCAGGCTCCATGCGGTCTCCGGGCGGCAAGCTGGAGACCCAGCACCCGGCTGGCCGTGAGGCCCCGCCCCCCTCCCCGCCCCTCTTACTTTGTCGGCGGCGGTGAGGCGGGTCCAGGGCTTGTCGGCCCTGCGGTCATAGTCCTGAGCATCGGCCACCTCCACGTAATCGCTGAAGCGGATGAGGATCTTCCGTTCTCTCAGCTCTTCCACTGTGGGCCTCTGGCTGAGCTGCGGGACGGAGAGATGGATGCGGTCAGCCTGTGACGTTTAGATCACTTGGTCCATCCGTGAGTTTATAGGTGGGAAGACGAGGTCCAGAGAGGCAGCTGATGCATCACACACACGTGAGGGGCAGGGCCCAGGGGACACAGGGCTCCTGATCCTGATTCCTGGACTTCTCCTGGACTCTGTGAAGGAGTTTACTAACTCATGAGCTGCCTCCAGGCCTATTCAGCCAGCCAGCCAGGCTGTCTCTTAATAACACTGCAGTGTCTCGGTCTGTACACGCGGTGTGTCTTTGTGCATGGGTGTGCATCTTCCCATGTCTGTCCTACCTTTCCCATCAGGTGACAGAAACCTTACACAAATTTTTTTTTTTTCCCGGTACACAGGCCTCTCACTGTTGCGGCCTCTGCCGTTGCGGAGCACGGTCTCTGGATGCGCAGGCTCAGCGGCCATGGCTCACGGGCCCAGCCGCTCCGCGGCATGTGGGATCTTCCCGGACCGGGGCACGAACCCGTGTCCCCTGCATCGGCAGGCGGACTCTCAACCACTGCGCCACCAGGGAAGCCCAACACACAACAGTTTTATAGTCTCGATTTGTGAATCCACATCTGTGTGTCAAATTTAGTGCTCTCTGCAAGATGGGTTTGTAATACTTTCTGTGTGTGTGTGTCTTAGACACAAAGAAAGTGTATGTGCAAACGGTATGCAAACTCCGGGGTGTGCAGGAATGAGAGTATGTCGATTTATGAGGTCATGGAGACCCTACCCCTCACTAGCTCAAATGAAAGGCGAGTCCACAAAGGCAGAGCTAGCCCGCGTTGATGCCAAAGAAAACTCGGACGGGCCCTTTGGATAGGCCTGTGGTGAAGGAATGAAACAAGTGAATTATTCAACCGTCTCCCAGTGCTACCCGCTAGCATCCTTCCTTTGTACTTTAACAACATAAGGCTGACATTTCTGTTATCTCTTCCTGTCACCAGATTGATTTCTTCTGGAGCAACACAGTTGCTCTCTCTTTAGGATGCTGTCAATTCATGTTCAACCGATGTTAGTTAAAAGCAATTTTTCTCTAAGCCCTAGACTGTATTTAATCCTATTAATAGAAGATGCAGTCAAATAGAATCTTACCACAAAGGCCTACAAAACAAACACACGCAAGTGAATCCAAACCACTCCAGCTGGTCCAAGTGAATCCAAGTACTCCAGCTGACTGTATATCATGCAGCTGCCATACACCTTTGGCTGATGCCAGAATGTCCCAGCTTGCTACCAACTGGCCTACAATGGAAGAGCATCATTAGATGACTGCCTGGCTGGTGCTGAGCAGAATGGTGACAGCTACCGCGAGGCTCCGGACAGGACCAAAGCAGCCTGCTGGTCCCCCTTGGTCAAGGGAGGAAAAACCCGGGGCTCAGAGGCCTAATGGGCTGTGGCACTGGTCACCTGTCTAGACACTGTGTAGCTCCCCAACTCAGAGTGGCTTCGGTCTGTCCCGAGGTAGCCCTGGTTTTCCCGGGGACAGGGCATTTTGGCATCAGCTGTAACCTGTCACAGGAAACCAGAGGTTTCCCACGCTCTATGGTTAGGGGTGCTGTAAACAAAACTGGTGGCCTATCCTGACTCTAAGATGTGAGTGCAGGGCGCTCTGTACTGTCATTAGAGTACATAGGCATTTACTGTAACACCACAAGGCATGAAGACTTCTACTCCAAGCCCCAGTTTGTGTTTCTAAGGACTTACTAGCTCGCCCTGGGGTGTTAGCCAAACAGTACTATTTTCTAAGTGTGCCATGCCAGGAGAAAGGTTGTTAAAGTCGGAATTTCTAATTTAAATTTCTCACAGTCATGATCTAGATTTTATTAATAGCCTGTCTATGGTAGAGTCTGGAGTGAACAGAAACCTAGAGGTTGGCTCTGAAGGTGAGGGACTATTTTTCATGCTTGAATCTGGTGGGGATTAGACACGACCTCTCCAGATCAATGAGAGACCGGGCCCAAGTGCCACCAGGGAGTGAGTGAGGGGGACGCCGAGTTCTCCTGCTGGGAGAACAACTGCCCGGACTCTGCTGTGAGCCAGGGCTCACACCCCTGGCCACAAGGGGCTCAGGAGAGGTGCCTTTGGCTCCTGGATGGCTCTAGCCCTTGGGGTGCGTGAACCCGACTTACTTGCCTGGACACTAAGGAAATAATCTTTGCAGCCAAAGTTGGTTTTCTGCGGATGATGGGCTGGAAGAAGGGGTGGGGTGCAGAGGTTGGTAGCGTTATGTTTCCATCTATGGCAGCAATAATATCGCTTGCAACCAATTACTCAACAAAAGGGTACGTTGAGACCCCAATTCCACTATTAATACAACCTGACCCAGGTACATTTCTTCCCTTCCTTCCCTCCTTTCCTTCCTCCCTCCAATACTCCTTCCCATTCACCCATCCATCCAGCTAGCTAGCGAGTTTTTGGAAGTGGGAAGCAGGCATTTATTCCAAGATAAAGCATGTAAATTTTAGGTTAGTCTCAATCTGGCTGGAGAAAATGCTGGTCTGTGGCTCTCAGCATCTGCTGCAGTGTTTTATTTTTCTCAGTGTCTTAAATAGAATGATATTGAGGAAATCCTCGGGCTGAGGGTGAGTGAAAAGCATCCCCCACCACTGGCTTCTGGTCTTGGTGTGATAAAGGCTCCCGAGGAACAGAACGTGCCCAGAGCCAGGAGGCGATATGGATTCCCTACCTGCTGGCACACTCCACATCTCTGTTCACAAAACCAGATGTGAACGCTGCTTCTGGTCTCTCCCTCATAAACAGTTTATCCCTTCACTCAGGCTCATTATTTCTACTTCCCCAAGCCAGTCCCAGGGGAGGCAAATGCTGAAATTACAAGGCAGTTTTCCTGGGAGAAGGAAAGAGAGGTAACCAGGGGGAGGAAGAGGCATTTATCGATAGACCTGAGGACCTGCAGAAACCCCACCCCTAGCATTACCCGTCCCGGGGGAGATGGGTGTGGGAGGAGACCCTCTTCTCTCACCCCAGTCCTGCCAAACTATGCACTTCGTCAAGCTTTCCCTTGCAAAATCGAAAGCTCTTTTTAAAGAGATGAGAATTAGGTGCATGTCCAGATCTTTCCCT